GTCCCTAGAGTGTATTTGTTTTTCCTTTTTGGTGAAACCACAAATCAACATTTTTATTTGAAAAATGTGCAAGTTGCTTTGTTTATTACCCAGTCAGCTAATTGTTGCAAATAAAAACTACGGCAATAAAACTGGAAAATTTATGGCTTTGTGATATGATTTCTGGTGGCTCCTGTTGCCACTTTGACTACGATAGTATGCTGCGAGCCGGTGGGAGGATGGGGAAGGGGGTCTTATTAATAAACTTTCACAAAAAGCTACTCCAGACACAATTTCACATACACTCTCCCATAGATACATCAGCTTGGAATAAATCATTTTATGGGGTTTAATTAGGAGAGAATACTACAATAAAAGGTAATTTAGAAGAATCGTTATTTATGAAATAAACATAAATTGTTTAAATGTTGTGGTCTGTGTGGAGGTGGGGAGGAGCTTGGGTGTGAAATTTATGAACTGTGAAGTATTTATTTATATGTTTTGTAATTGTATGTTTTTATGGCTTTGTATTGGGCGCCATTATGAGAGATTTTGGGGCATGGATATTTACTACTTATGGCAAATTTGTTTAGAAACAAGTTAAAAAGTATCATTCGGAGTTGCCGACAGTTGTATACCCTCAGTCAATGTTCGATGATTTAAATATATTTTGACTTCTCTTATGATTATTCAAATTGTTGACCCTCTATGGCGTGGGTTGCGAAGGAATGCCCCAATATTATCCAATTCATATCGGACCAAAATAAATATTTATATAAATATTGCGACGTATCAGGTTAGGACTATAATGGTTACCTTCTTCACGTTATATGAGATTTGTGATAATTTTCAGAAAATTTTAAAATGTACGTGAGGTACCAGATTTATTCGACCGAAGTATTCCATTTTCATACTTCGTCTAATACACATAAAAATATTGGTATGAGCAAAATTACAAGAAAATCGAACATTTATATCCAATTTTATGCGAAATCATAAATTCCATATTCAACTAAGGTTTCTGATTGAGATAAATACTTAGATATAGCAAGTTTTAAGAATTGCTGACTTGTTTCGCAAATTATGACAGAAAAAAGTATTGAAAATCGTGACGCTTTGTGGGTGAGGTACCAGAAGTGTTTCGCAGATATATATCATCTTTACCACAGATCTTGTGTTGGCAAAAATGTTTGTATGTGTGAAATTTGAAGAGAGTTGGAGGCTTATTTCGCTTTCTTTGAGCGTTTTATTTTTCAATATCTTGAACCCTGTGTGGGGGAGGTACCAGAAGAAATGGTCCGATCTCTACCATCTTTATAAAAGATCTTGTGTTGATGGAAATATATGAGATGTACCATGTCTGGAATTGAATCGGATGTTGATTTCGCTTTTTATGAGCTTCATGGGTATTCAAAATTTTGACCCTTTGTGCGAGACGTACAAGAAGGAGTGGACCGATGTTGCCCATCTTCACGGCAGACCTTGTATTAGTAAAAATAATGAAATGTGTAAAATATGAAAAGAACAGTTGCTTATTTCTGATTTTATAATCGTTTTAGCTATTCGAAACTTTGACCCTTTGTGGGGAAGGTACCAGAAGGAATTGTCCAATCTATACCATCTTTATGAAATATCTTGTGCCGATGGAAATATTCAGATGAACCCAGTCTGAATGGAACCGTGTGTTAATTTCGCGTTTTATGAGCTTTATTGATATTCAAAAATTTTACCTTTGTGAGGAAGGTACCAGAAGAAGTGGACCGATATATCCCATCTTAACACCAGACGTTGGGTTAATACATACGCTTACATCACATTTTATAAAAGTTGTAATTATTCCAAATTTTGACCTTTTGTGGAGGAAGTACTTGATGGAGTGGGTCGATATTGTCTCTTTTCGCACCTGAGCTAGCACTGATGAAAATATTAGGATTCGCAAAATCGGATTATTCTCTCTCTTTCTGTGCAATAAATTATTTTCTTTGAAAATTTTGACATTTTGGGTGGGAGGTACCAGAAGGAGAGGACCCATATTGCCCATATCCGAACTCGATCTAAGTTTGAGAATAATATTCGGATGTAGCAACTTTGGATCAAATTGGATACTCCCTTCTAGAAATTATCTTGCGCAAAAGCCAGCCAGACGGACGGACATCGCAAGATCGACTTCAAATGTCCTGAAACGGATTTGGTAAAAAGAGACCTAGTGGAACCCTAGTTATTTCGACTAAGCACGTTTTTTACATTATTTTTTTAAATTTTCTCAAATTTTTGAATAAATTTAGATTTGTTTGAATTGGTCGCCTTTGGCACGAATCATGGCCTTCAAACGGCCAATGAAACAGTCACACGCTGCCCGAATGTTGCTCTGCGGTATTTTGGCTCATTTCCGGCGAAGCGCTTGCTTGAGGTGATCGACACTTTGGTATTTTTCAGTGCCAACCTTGCTTTCCAAAATACTCCAGACACAATAGACCAACGGATTGGTATCCGGAGATTTTGGTGGCCAATGTGAGCTGGAAATGAAACGAGGAAGCTCATTTTGTAACCATTCTTTGGTGGCTCGTGCTGAGTGCGATGGTACTAAGTCCTGTTGGAATGTCTAAGGTCTGCGGCCAAAATGTTTGCGTGCCCAAGGCTTTAATACACCCTCCAGAATATTTTCGCGATAATATTCGGCATTTAATCTGATGCCACGGTCGTCTAATACGAGCGGAAAGCGACCATCGGCTGTTATGGCGGCCCACACCATCACCATGGCCGGCGCTTCAGTTCTAGTGGCCAATCGAAGGTGCACATTTTGGCAAGTAAACAAGATCATTTTGTTTGTTTACAAACTGCTGGACAACGAATGTTTTCTCATCGGAGCGGAGAAAGCCAAATTCGGCAGTTCTCTACTTTCGGCCAAGCGAAACAACACTTTAGCTCTTCTAAGTCTATTTTCTTTCTGTAGCTGTCGGTGTAAATTATTGCACTTTTTGGAAATTTAATGGCTTTACCCCGAGCTAATTTTTAATATTTGCCGAGTGGACTATTGCGATATGCTCAGCTCACGAGCCATTTTTCGCCCACCGTGACGCGGTGTAACGCCCAAAAGTCATGCTTTCGTTTTTGGGGTACATTATTATTTTAAATACCATTTTTACTTACTTATGTTATATACATCAACTATGAATTATATTTTTTTTGTTTGAAAATGCATTAAAATATTTAAGTTATGAATTAACTAATAGCTACTCAGGGTCATGTAATTTAAATGTATTTGAATATTAACGGTCACACAGGTCCCCTAGTAGAAAGAAGTATACTTAAAATACAACATTGGAACCCCTGGTGGCAAATGGCGGAACTACGAAAAACTGTCAGATTGGGATCAGCTGCTGTCATGAGAAAACAACAATCGTTGTCCAGCCAAAAAGGTATAAAAGGAGACGCATTTCACACAATCGGGATCAGTCTTCTGTTGATGGCTGGTAAGTCAAGAGTGATTGGGAGGAAGAAAAGGCGCGCAACCTTGGTTGAATTGAGTCTTAGTAAGCCAAACAATAAGCCTTGACTATTTGTGGTGACTGGACTGAACGCAGGGTCAAGTGAGGGTTGTAGCAATACTCCCTATTCTTCGGGCTGCGTTGACGGCGACTGAACGCAGGGTCAAGTGAGGGTTGTAGCAATACTCCCTATTCTTCGGGCTGCGTTGACGGCGACTGAACGCAGGGTCAAGTGAGGGTTGTAGCAATACTCCCTATTCTTCGGGCTGCGTTGACGGCGACTGAACGCAGGGTCAAGTGAGGGTTGTAGCAATACTCCCTATTCTTCGGGCTGCGTTGACGGCGACTGAACGCAGGGTCAAGTGAGGGTTGTAGCAATACTCCCTATTCTTCGGGCTGCGTTGACGGCGACTGAACGCAGGGTCAAGTGAGGGTTGTAGCAATACTCCCTATTCTTCGGGCTGCGTTGACGGCGACTGAACGCAGGGTCAAGTGAGGGTTGTAGCAATACTCCCTATTCTTCGGGCTGCGTTGACGGCGACTGACGTACTCATCGGGCTGCTGCTGTGCCAAAGCTGCCGCCACCCGATTCGTCGTGCGCGTATTCATCAGGCCGCCGCTGTGCCAAGCTGCCGCCACTACTACTCGCCGCTGACGTATTCATCGGGCCGCCGCCACCCTATTCGTCGCTCGCCTATTCATCGGGCCGCCGCTGTGCCAAGCTGCCGCCACTACTATTCGTCGCTCGCCTATTCATCGGGCCGCCGCTGTGCCAAAGCCGCCGCCACCCTATTCGTCGCTCGCCTATTCATCGGGCCGCCGCTGTGCCAAGCTGCCGCCACTACTATTCGTCGCTCGCCTATTCATCGGGCCGCCGCTGTGCCAAGCTGCCGCCACTACTATTCGTCGCTCGCCTATTCATCGGGCCGCCGCTGTGCCAAAGCCGCCGCCACCCTATTCGTCGCTCGCCTATTCATCGGGCCGCCGCTGTGCCAAGCTGCCGCCACTACTATTCGTCGCTCGCCTATTCATCGGGCCGCCGCTGTGCCAAAGCCGCCGCCACCCTATTCGTCGCTCGCCTATTCATCGGGCCGCCGCTGTGCCAAGCTGCCGCCACTCTATTCGTCGCTCGCCTATTCATCGGGCCGCCGCTGTGCCAAGCTGCCACCACTGCTACCCGTTTATTAACATTTCGACTGAACTTTGTGATTTAGTGTTCTTCGTAAAACGTTCTGAACGTGATTTTATTGTGTTTAGTGTAGTGTTTAGTGTTATTTAAGGAAATAAATTTATAACGTTTTAAGAAAATATTTTTGCTTCGCTCTCTCTCTCTCTTTATGTCCTAACAAATAAATTTTTGTGACGACTCTGGCCCCCGCTGAACCTACCCCAGCTTCAAAGTGAAAACACGTCGTCACAATGGCGCCCGAGCAGGGACTATAAAAGAGAGAAAGAATAAATAAATGAGTGAACAATAATTAGACAAATACAGATGAAAACCCAGTGAAAAAAATAACAGTTAAAAAAAAAAAAACTGAAACAAGTAAAAATAATAAAAAAAAAAAAAAAAAAAAAAAAAAAAAAAAAAATGTCAAACGAAAAGACAATGTTGAAGGTCTCCTGGGCCTATATGCTAAAGCAAGAAGACTTGGTAACATATCTTACTGAATTCAATCTTGATCCAGTTGGAAAAGTGGACGATCTCCGAAAAAGATGGGCTAAATTTCTCCACAACGCCCATGAAGCCGATGTATACAGACGGCTTATAGAGTTGCAGAACAAACATGAAAGTACCAGTCCGACCAAATCGCCGACATTGCGAGCCGTCACAAAACAACCCCTTATAACCGTAACACCGTGTGGAGCAGAAGCAATAGTATTATCCCCAATAAAAACAGAGTACGCCCTTCCCCACATCTCCGCGGAAAGGTCACATGGAGAGTCAAGCACCGGGGTAACAAACGATCAAAAAGTACAGAAGATGTCGCCAACAAACCCCGAATATGGATTTCAAAAAGATTCTCCGCCCAAGCCATCCAATAATTCGTCGTTACTCGTAATTCTCGACCAAATCCGAAAATGGAATATTACTTTTGAAAATGGAATGGACCCTAGTGGATTCGTAGAACGTGTAGAAGAAATGGCTGAAATGTACATCGTGGAATTGAATCAAATAATTAAAGTAATGCCAGAGTTGTTACGAGGTAAAGCTTTAATCTGGCTAAGGAACAACAACCGACACTGGACTACCTGGAACGAATTTAAGAGTGATTTTCTGAAATTCTTTTTGCCACCGAGATACTTTGAGAAATTGGAGGATGAAATTAGGAGAAGGATACAGCGTAATAAGGAGCCGTTTAAGGAATATGTACTCTCTATACAGCATCTTATGCAGCACACCAATATGACCGAAGAACAAAAATTGGAACGAATTTTTAGAAACGCGCATTCGGATTATCAATGGTACATTCGCCGTAAAGACTTTACCACACTTTCGGAATTGATCTCCTTGGCAGACGAACTCGAAAGCATACCAAATAATTCTCGGTCAGAACAGCCTCGAAATCAACAAAACTATAATCGACGTGCGGACAACTCTAGAAATAACCTGTATTGCACCAATCAAGGTGACCAAGTGCTAAACGAAAGCTCATCCAATCCAGAAACGCAGCAGGATGAACCCCCGGCAAAGAAGAGTAACCAGAATATTACCTCATTGCAATGTGAAGAATATCGCCTTACTGCAACGGTCTTAATAGAGGGGAAAGCTATTAAAGCAACTGTCGACACGGGTGCCACTAGCTGTTTTATAAAAAGAGAATTTGCGGAAAAAATCAAGAAAAGGTTTACTTATTCACGGCATGAGGCAAATGTTATCCTCGCAGACGGCACCACGGTGAACATCACAAGATCAACAGTGTTACCTGTTACATTTGGAAACCAAAGCTCAGATGTTACATTTCTCATCATGCCGCAATTCAAGGAAAACATCATATTGGGATTGGAATTTCTAAAACAGTTCCACACGACCATTCACTGCGCCGGTATAAGTGTCAAATTAAGTAAGCCAACCACATCAACGGAGCATTGTACCGTGGCTATAGGAGAGGAAACCCCATCAAAAGAGGTAATAGATACAATGACAGCTACGAATAATGTATCCCCCAGACCTAAATTCTTAAACGATGAATTGAGTAAAACGCAATGTGAGATCGTTGAAAATTTTCTGGCACAGGAACTCCCTAAGTTCCAACAATTAAATGGCCTATCGTCAATAGCTGAACATAAGATTGTAATGACCGACGATCGACCCATTAAATTAAGATATGCTCCGCGAAATCCTGCAATGCAAGCCGTGATTAATGCCGAAGTGAGAAAGCTCGAAGAACGAGGATGTATAGAGCCGTCTACAAGCCCATACTGTTTCCCCATCACATTAGTCAGAAAGAAAAATGGGAATTGGAGAACTTGTATGGATTTTCGCCAATTGAATAAACGTTCTGTTCCAGATGCCTACCCTTTACCCCGCATCGACGCAATACTGAATCGACTACGGGATGCCAAATACGTGAGTAGCCTGGACCTTAAAGACGGATATTGGCAAATACCTATGGCGAAGGAGAGCAGAAAATACACGGCCTTTGCGGTAGCTGGTAAAGGTCTATATCAGTGGAAAGTGATGCCTTTCGGTTTGCATTCAGCACCGGCAACCTTCCAACGGGCATTAGATAGTGTGATTGGGCCTGAAATGGACCCCCACGCTTTTGCATACCTTGACGATATCATCGTCATTGGAAAAACGTTTGAGGAACACTTGCGGAACTTGAGAGAAGTGTTCAGAAGATTGCGATCAGCTAACCTGAGAATAAACATTGAGAAATGCGAATTTTTCAGAAAAGAAACGAAGTATTTAGGCCATGTTGTGAGTAGCGAGGGAATAAAGACGGATCCAGATAAAGTTGCCGCAATAGTGGAAATGAAACCTCCAACATCGGTAAAGGAGGTACGAAGATTTCTTGGAGTAGCATCTTGGTACCGAAGATTTGTCCCACAGTTTGCAACAATTTCACAACCATTGACTAGTCGTCTTAAAAAGGGAAAACATTGGAAATGGGGTCCCGAACAACAAGAAGCATTCTCAGACCTAAAAGCAAAGTTAACTGAAGCCCCCGTTCTGGCTTGTCCGGATTTCACAAAGACGTTCATATTGCAAACTGATGCCAGCAACTATGGCCTTGGAGCAGTTCTAACACAGGAGTTAGATAACGTGGAACGTGTCATAGCCTACGCCAGCAGACATTTAAAACAGGCTGAAAAGAACTACTCAGCGACTGAAAAGGAATGTCTAGCCATACTGTGGGGCATCAGACACATGAGACCCTATTTAGAGGGTTACCAGTTTATAGTTATTACCGATCATTTGGCCCTAAAATGGTTAAATTCTATTGAAAGCCCTACAGGTCGACTCGCACGTTGGGCTCTCGAGCTACAGCAATATAATTTTTTGATCAGATACCGTAGAGGAAAACAGAACGTTGTGGCGGATGCGCTTTCGAGAACACCTTTGGAAACGTTAGACCTAGCCACAGTAAAATATGACACCAGTCCGTGCCCATGGCTAGAAAAGTTGAAGGAAACCATAACCAAGAATCCGAAGAAGTATCCAGACTATACAATCATTGAGGGAAATGTTTATCGACATTTTCCCAAGCAAATAAACGATGAAGATTGCACACCATGGAAGCTGTGTGTGCCCACCGGATCAAGGATTCAGGTCCTTAGAGAAAATCATGACAGTGTCACCGGAGGTCATTTGGGAGTGCGAAAGACTAGCAACAAGGTGGCGAACCGATATTTTTGGCCTGGTATGTTCCAGGACATCAAACGTTATGTCCAGCAGTGCGAATGTTGCCAAAAATATAAGGTCAGCCAACAGAAACCAGCAGGGGAAATGTTGATAAGAATCCCGGAGGAACCATGGGCCACTATTTGTGCGGACTTCGTAGGACCCCTACCGCGATCTAAGCACGGTAACTCAATGCTACTCGTTATTATGGATAGATTCTCAAAATGGACGGAGTTGGTTCCATTGCGGAAGGCTACGACAGAGGGATTAATAAAGGCATGCAGAGAAAGAATTATTTCTAGATATGGGGTTCCAAAAATATTGATAACCGATAACGGAACCCAATTCACTAGCAACCAATTCGAAAAATTCCTAGCAGAAATGGGTATAAAGCATCAACTTACGGCTCCTTACACCCCACAAGAGAACCCTACTGAAAGGACAAATCGGACAGTGAAAACAATGATAGCACAAGTTTCGAAACAACATAATACATGGGACGATATGCTGCCCGAAATAATGTTAGCCATAAACACTAGTGCATCAGAATCCACTGGATATTCGCCGGCATACCTGACACAAGGAAGAGAACCGCGACTGCCCCAGGCATTATATGATCAGCTCACAACAGGAACTGGTGCTAGAATAGTCTTACCAGAAGACCGTGCCCAGGAGTTGAAAGAAATATTTAAGATAGTGCGTCGAAACTTGGCAAAAGCATCTCAAAACCAGCGGAGACAGTACAACCTTAGACGACGAGTTTGGAAACCAAAGATTGGGGAGCAAGTTCTAGTTCGTCTACATCCTCAGTCGAAGGCCGTCGAAAATTTCGCCGCCAAACTAGCGCCCAAATACGGAGGGCCGTTTGTCGTACAAAAATTCCAATCTCCAGTAATCGTTGTAGTCCGAGGAAAAGGCAACATCACCCGCGTCGCGCACTTAAGTGAAATTAAGCCTTTTTATGAAGAACAAAATTAAATTGTAGACATAGAAGTAGAATGTTGATTGTAGTTCCACTTACGTTTATGTGATGCCATTTCATTATAATTTCTTATTTTATTTTTAGACATTAAATTGACAATACCCAAACTAATCAGTGTCCTAATATAAGCCCATACTGCAAAGACCATCGAAATTCTCAAAATTTCAACATCACGATGGAGCAAGATAGCCCCAACACGAAAAAATTCAAACGGGCGAAGGAGAATAATAGCACACCAAGTACAATCAAATTGCCAGTCACTGAAATCCCAACTGAGTCAACGCCACCGTCCTCGACAGACAATCCCGTGAACGATAACACATTTCTCGAACTGCCAAATTATCCCGAAAACCTACAAATCCGTATCGAGAAGTTTAAAAACAATTGGAAAAAGGGACACAAACTGAAGCGAATTGTTAAACAAGATGGCAAGCAGTACCGCATAATAATATCAGCAGACGGGGTAGTGAAGGTATCTCTCCGAACTTCTGCAATTGGTCTCTAACATACCTTCCTATTCGACCGAGATATAGTCGAACCAAAGTGCCCATGTCGGAGAAATAAAAGGTTACATAACACCCTAGGGCTTCCTGGCTATTGAAACCCAATAGCAATAGAGAAAGCAAATCAAGGAATCAAAAATCAGAGGGAGGAAGAGATGCCATGTAACGCCCAAAAGTCATGCTTTCGTTTTTGGGGTACATTATTATTTTAAATACCATTTTTACTTACTTATGTTATATACATCAACTATGAATTATATTTTTTTTGTTTGAAAATGCATTAAAATATTTAAGTTATGAATTAACTAATAGCTACTCAGGGTCATGTAATTTAAATGTATTTGAATATTAACGGTCACACAGGTCCCCTAGTAGAAAGAAGTATACTTAAAATACAACATTGGAACCCCTGGTGGCAAATGGCGGAACTACGAAAAACTGTCAGATTGGGATCAGCTGCTGTCATGAGAAAACAACAATCGTTGTCCAGCCAAAAAGGTATAAAAGGAGACGCATTTCACACAATCGGGATCAGTCTTCTGTTGATGGCTGGTAAGTCAAGAGTGATTGGGAGGAAGAAAAGGCGCGCAACCTTGGTTGAATTGAGTCTTAGTAAGCCAAACAATAAGCCTTGACTATTTGTGGTGACTGGACTGAACGCAGGGTCAAGTGAGGGTTGTAGCAATACTCCCTATTCTTCGGGCTGCGTTGACGGCGACTGAACGCAGGGTCAAGTGAGGGTTGTAGCAATACTCCCTATTCTTCGGGCTGCGTTGACGGCGACTGAACGCAGGGTCAAGTGAGGGTTGTAGCAATACTCCCTATTCTTCGGGCTGCGTTGACGGCGACTGAACGCAGGGTCAAGTGAGGGTTGTAGCAATACTCCCTATTCTTCGGGCTGCGTTGACGGCGACTGAACGCAGGGTCAAGTGAGGGTTGTAGCAATACTCCCTATTCTTCGGGCTGCGTTGACGGCGACTGAACGCAGGGTCAAGTGAGGGTTGTAGCAATACTCCCTATTCTTCGGGCTGCGTTGACGGCGACTGAACGCAGGGTCAAGTGAGGGTTGTAGCAATACTCCCTATTCTTCGGGCTGCGTTGACGGCGACTGACGTACTCATCGGGCTGCTGCTGTGCCAAAGCTGCCGCCACCCGATTCGTCGTGCGCGTATTCATCAGGCCGCCGCTGTGCCAAGCTGCCGCCACTACTACTCGCCGCTGACGTATTCATCGGGCCGCCGCCACCCTATTCGTCGCTCGCCTATTCATCGGGCCGCCGCTGTGCCAAGCTGCCGCCACTACTATTCGTCGCTCGCCTATTCATCGGGCCGCCGCTGTGCCAAAGCCGCCGCCACCCTATTCGTCGCTCGCCTATTCATCGGGCCGCCGCTGTGCCAAGCTGCCGCCACTACTATTCGTCGCTCGCCTATTCATCGGGCCGCCGCTGTGCCAAGCTGCCGCCACTACTATTCGTCGCTCGCCTATTCATCGGGCCGCCGCTGTGCCAAAGCCGCCGCCACCCTATTCGTCGCTCGCCTATTCATCGGGCCGCCGCTGTGCCAAGCTGCCGCCACTACTATTCGTCGCTCGCCTATTCATCGGGCCGCCGCTGTGCCAAAGCCGCCGCCACCCTATTCGTCGCTCGCCTATTCATCGGGCCGCCGCTGTGCCAAGCTGCCGCCACTCTATTCGTCGCTCGCCTATTCATCGGGCCGCCGCTGTGCCAAGCTGCCACCACTGCTACCCGTTTATTAACATTTCGACTGAACTTTGTGATTTAGTGTTCTTCGTAAAACGTTCTGAACGTGATTTTATTGTGTTTAGTGTAGTGTTTAGTGTTATTTAAGGAAATAAATTTATAACGTTTTAAGAAAATATTTTTGCTTCGCTCTCTCTCTCTCTTTATGTCCTAACAAATAAATTTTTGTGACGACTCTGGCCCCCGCTGAACCTACCCCAGCTTCAAAGTGAAAACACGTCGTCACAGCGGGTTTCGATCAAGTCGCTTCTTTACTTTCTAACCATTTCTGCTGATGTTGCTGTTTTCTTCCGTCGATTACCTTGACGTCGAGCTACTCTACCAGTATCACGGTAACGAGCTATGGTATAAAACACAAATGATTTATTCACATTTAAATGCTTGAGTGCTCTAACGATAGCAACTTGTGGTTTTCCAGACAAATATAAAGAAATCACACTATCACGCTTGAATTCCATGACAAATAACTTTTTCCTGGAAATTTTTCGCCAAAATGCTTTTGTACGCCTGTAAACAATATAATGAGCTGTCACTGGAATAATTTTAACAGCTGTCGGACGAGTGGCTTAGAAATTACAGCAGTCTGAAGTTGGTTGCATTTTTTTCATCTCACCCTGTACAAGGGGAATTTTCGAAATTACAATTCGAATTACTAATAGATTTCTCAAATTACAATTAGAATGTTTCGAATTACATTTGAAAAGTCCTCATATAATGGCAATTGTAATAAAGGAGTTGAGAAGAGATTGATGCCAATAGTTAATGCATACTTTTAGGCTTCTCTCATATGTTTGCAAATCAACCCAACTTTAGGCAATAATCTTTTTTTCGATAATTCCTAATAAATAAACACTTACGTGAGCAAACATTAATTTTAAGATTTCCAAACAACTGAAGAGGATATCCGGCAAAGAATTCGAAATTTATTACATTTGGCAGTTTTACGATGGCTCAAATATTGACTTAGCAACATTTCTCATATAAAATTACTTTTGTTGGTTTCCTTTTTTTTTGAGGAAAAAACTTCTTTTTTTTTGACTTTCCAAAGGAACAATTGAGAAAAAAAGGCAATCACCTAACTCCTTCTTCCGGCCAACCATTTGATTACCGAAATAAGAGCTCTTCAAGAATTTTAATTTACAACCGGCCATAAACGTGATTGTATTAACCAAATAGCAATGTCGTTAATATGCTTGCCATTCTTTGTGTCGTTTGTGGTGGTTGTTAAGGACATGTAAGTGAGTGGATGGAAGGGGGAATGGAAATCCCTAAAAGACATTTCCAGAATTAGTTTTTCCTCTTTTTCATTCATTTCAAAGATTTTTTTCTTTTCTTCATCTTTTGGCTTAGAAATATTTCTCACTCAAGCAAATGGCTAAAGTTGTGCCATAAAACGATTTTCTTAAATTAAAGTTTAGCTCTTTTTGAGAGAACTCCCCTTATACCATAAGAGAAGAAAAATTGGAATTTATAATTTGTCATCATTGCGTATCTCTTTTTTCGGAATCTTCAGTTAATGGCAGGGGAAATGTAGCGGAATGCATTGCAATTTCAGCTTGAGCTACAAATATTTTCAAGCAAAAGGAACCTTTGAGGTTGTAAGTGACAATTTTTAGTGGCACTCAAAGTCGGGAAAGGGTGTCCTGGAGGAAAATGACAAAAAGTGATAGACTTATGGAATAACAGGGATATAATCACGTGGATTGTCTAAGAATGATTTTTCAAGGATTATCAAGGTCATAAAAGTAGATATTTTGAAATATTTTAAAAGGGCCAACTGTAGTCAAATCCTGGATCTTCTTAGAGTATTTTTTCAAGAAACAAAGAACCAAAATGAAATGTGTTTTTTTTTTTTTGATTTTTTAAAGAAAATCCTTTCATGATAAACGTGGATTTTTTAAAGAAATCCTTTCAAGGACCAATGGATTGATAAATGTGGATTTTTTGAAAGAAAATCCTTTCAAGGACTAATGGATTTATAAACGTGGATTTTTTAAAAGAAAATCCTTTCAAGGACCAATGGATTGATAAACGTGGATTTTTTAAAGAAAATACTTTCAAGGACCAATGGATTGATAAACGTGGATTTTTTAAAGAAAATACTTTCAAGGACCAATGGATTGATAAACATGAATTTTTTTAAAGAAAATCCCTTCAAGGATCAATGGATTTATAAACGTGAACTTTTTTAAAGAAAATCCTAAGACCAATGGATTAATAAACGTGGAAAAATCCTTTCAAGGACCAATGATTTGAGAAACGTGGATTTTATAAAGAAAATCCTTTCAAGGGCCAATGGATTGATAAACGTGGATTTTTTAATGAAAATCCTTTTAAGGACCAATGGATTGATAAACGTGGATTTTTTAATGAAAATCCTTTCAAGGACTAATGGATTGATAAACGTGGATTTTTAAAAGAAAATCCTTTCAAGGACCAATGGATTGATAAACGTGGATTTTTTTAAAGAAATTCCTTTCAAGGACCAATGGATTGATAAACGTGTATTTTTTTAAAGAAATTCCTTTCAAGGACCAATGGATTGATAAACGTGGATTTTTAATGAAAATCCTTTTAAGGACCAATGATTTGAGAAACGTTGATTTTATAAAGAAAATCCTTTCGAGGGCCAATTGATTGATAAACGTGGATTTTTTAATGAAAATCCTTTTAAGGACCAATGGATTGATAAACGTGGATTTTTAAAAGAAAATCGTTTCAAGGACCAATGGATTGATAAACGTGGATTTTTTAATGAAAATCCTTTCAAGCACCAATGGATTGATAAACGTGGATTTTTTAATGAAAATCCTTTTAAGGACCAATGGATTGATAAACGTGGATTTTTTAAAGAAAATCCTTTCAAGGACCAATGGATTGATAAACGTGGATTTTTTAAAGAAAATCCTTTCAAGGACCAATGGATTGATAAACGTGGATTTTTTAAAGAAAATCCTTTCAAGGACCAATGGATTGATAAACGTGGATTTTTTAAAGAAAATCCTTTCAAGGACCAATGGATTGATAAACGTGGATTTTTTAAAGAAAATCCTTTCAAGGACCAATGGATTGATAAACGTGGATTTTTTAAAGAAAATCCTTTCAAGGACCAATGGATTGATAAACGTGGATTTTTTAAAGAAAATCCTTTCGAGGACCAATGGATTGATAAACGTGGATTTTTTAAAGAAAATCCTTTCAAGGACCAATGGATTGATAAACGTGGATTTTTTAAAGAAAATCCTTTCAAGGACCAATGGATTGATAAACGTGGATTTTTAAAGAAAATCCTTTCAAGGACCAATGGATTGATAAACGTGGATTTTTTAAAGAAAATCCTTTCAAGGACCAATGGATTGATAAACGTGGATTTTTTAAAGAAAATCCTTTCAAGGACCAATGGATTGATAAACGTGGATTTTTTAAAGAAAATCCTTTCAAGGACCAATGGATTGATAAACGTGGATTTTTTAAAGAAAATCCTTTCAAGGACCAATGGATTGATAAACGTGGATTTTTTAAAGAAAATCC